GAGTGTGCAGAAATGGATAGATTGACTTTAAAGATAAAAGAGAAAGAAGACTCGGTGTGTTTTAGAACATGGGATAATGTCTATCAATGGCTAGAAAGACGAGTTAGAGAGAAAGGAATGTGATATGTAATTTTGAACATACCATATTTTCCGGCGTATAAGACGACTCGGTGTATAAGACGACACCCGACCGGCGCCGATTTCAACGCTCTCAAAAGTCGTCTTATACTCCGGAAAGTACGGTATATTAGCAAGAAGAAGGCTATTGAGTGATTAATTAACATATTGTTTATGATAACTAACAATTATCTATTAGTGTTTGTTAAATACATGAACCCAGACATTATGCTGTTTGCTAAATATTGAGAATGTTATTTGGAAAAACCCCAACCCCAACCCTAACTTTAATCCTAACCCTAACCTAAATCCCAACCCCAACCCCGACCCCACCTTATTTTTAACCTCATAAAAACTAATAAAACCTATACCAATTTTTTTTGGGGGGGATGCTTGGCAACTAGCTCATTTTTATAATGATTGCAGTATCCCAAGGTCATGTGACTTTCTGACAAGCAAATTCAATGGGGGAAGCCAGATTCATTTAACAACTGTGTCGTTAACTTAACAATTGTAGTGATTCACTTAACAGCTGTGGCAAAGTAAAACTCACTTAACAAATGTCTTGCTTAGCAATGGAAAGTTGTGGTTGTAAGTCAAGGAGTACCTGTATCAATTTTTCCCTAAAAAAAAAACCCCTATCAAAACCAATACGGTTCTGTTGTGTTTATATTTTGATATGCATTATGAGTCATTTAAAAAAAAAAGGAGATGGTGAAGTCACAGGCAAACTCTGGTAAAAAAAAATCCGAAGACATTTGAAACAGTTCTTGTGGCAAGATTTGGGTCTATATATTCACAAATTAGATCCTGTTAATAAAATTCTGCAAAAAGCAAGCCTTGTTTTGTGAGGCAAGGAATCACCTCCTTCCATTATCACTTTCGCTTGTGAGATGCGTAACTGCTTCAAAAAAATGATTGAGAAAGAAGCAAAAAAAAAAAAAAGTCCTCACATGAAACAAAATCACACAGTCACCCAAGAAATCAACGTCACCAAGGCATAAATCAATTTTCTCAGATGGAAATAAAAATGAGCGTAGGCTAAAATGAAAGAGACAAGTTCAGGGTGGAAGCATATGATATTATATCAAGGTGATTTCAAATTGAATTGGAGAAGTATTTCTCTGCTTATATAAAATTGTAAATTTATTTGGTTTCTTGTCAGGACTTGACTGGGGGCTTTGAGTCAGGGAACTTTAGTAAGGATGCTTTTGTGTGGAAATGGCTTTTTCCTTAGAATGTAAATATTTCATGAACTTCATAGATGACCCAGGTGATTGAGATGGCACTAAGATAATACACAGCATTTGAGGGCAATTTACAACATTTTGAAGACAATAAAGAATCGACGGAGGATTTTTTTTTTCAGAGGTTGCTCTGTTTTTCTATCTGTGTAACTCTGCCCATTTCTAACTATGAAGGAGAAAGAGTGATCTATTTTTGATTACAAATACATCCACCACCCTGCACTGGCCATCAGTAATAGCTTCTCTTCATAGAACAGTGGGAAATTTCTTCCAAGAAAATTATCCTTTGATAGTCTCATATTGAATTTGTTGCTAAGACAAGCAGATAAAAGACAAATTGTGTGAAATAACCAGAATGAAGCAAAATTGAGACAATACTGGGACCTACATTAAAAATAAATCACAGGACAATATGCAAACTTCCCAGTTCTGTACAATTGAGCCCAAATTTTATGTTGCTAAGTGAAACATTTGTAAAGTGAATTCTGCCCCATTTTATGACCTTTCTTGCCACAGTTGTTAAGTGAATCACTGCAGTTGTTAAGTTAGTAACACGGTTGTTAAGTGAATCTGGCTTCCCCATTGACTTTGCTTGTCAGAAAGTCACAAGAGGGGATCATATAACTCCGGGACATTGCAACCGTCAAAAATATAGAGCAGCTGCCAAGTGTCTGAATTTTAATCATGTGACCATGGGGATTGTAAGTGTGAAAAACAGTCATAAATCACTCTTTTCACTGCCGTTGTAACTTGGAATGGTCACTAAATGAACTATTGTAAGTCGAGGACTACTAGTAATTCTTAAGCAATACAGAAAAAAAGAGAGGTGGAAGATGCCAGAATTTAGCCCCCTGGAGAACTTCTATTTTTATCTACCGTAAATGCCGGCGTATAAGACGACTTCCACGAGCGCTGAAATCGGCGCCAAAGACGGGGGTCGTCTTATACGCCGAGTCGTCTTATATGCTGGAAATACTGGTAGTTTCCGGCGTATAAGACGACGTTCTAGGAATGCAGCCCGGCTATAAAGACGGGGGTCATCTTATACGCCGGGTCGCCTTGTACGCCGGCATTTACGGTAATATGTTGATTAGCCAGCAAAGAATGCACTGTCATTATGTCTAAGCTTTCTTTAAATCCATTTATGAAACATGAAAAAAGTGGCTATTTTTAGAACTCCTACACCTTCCAGTTTTAAGGTTAGCAGTTTCAACACTGCGCTCAGTTCATTCTGATGAAAATATGGATGGTTTTTAAGATGAGCATATACTGTATATCCTTAGCGTCGTTTTTCAAACAGGAAAGAAATATACAGTGCCTGAAGAGGCAATGAGAAAAATGCAGTAGGGAGCAGACACACATCTCAGAGGATCTCTCAGAGTTTTAAAAAGGTCTTAATAGGACAGGTAGACGGTGCAGATAAGCTCTCTTGTTGTGACCCTGTTGTGTTATGTGATTAGTAAGTTGTGAAAAACACAGCTACAATTTGCTGTGAGACTTTGATTAAGTTTGATAAAGGTTGAGGGAAGCACAGGAAGGGGAAAAGGTGACAGATCGTTAATGCCCTTGGAAATATTAGAAGTTACCAATGAAGAGAAGTCAAGCACATGTCTTTAGAGCAGTGTTTCTCAACCTTGACCATTTTAAGGCATGTGGACTTCAACTCCCAGAATTCCACAGCCACATGCCTTAAAATGGTCAAGGTTGAGAAACACTGCTTTAGAGTTATCAGAAGCTGAATGTGACCTAAGAAACTTAGAAGACCACATTTAGACATAAAGTTTGCCCTAATGCATTCTGAATCATGACTGGAGCTTATAGATGCTTTTGACAAGTATGTCACTATGCCAATATAAAAGTTGGACTTAGTGGTACAACAAGTGTTTGATAAGTCCCAGTTAGTTCTAATTAATTTTTGCTTTGTTAGAGCTATGCAAAAAATACTTGAGAAGGTAAGATCTTATCTGCATTGCCTATTTGTCCCATCATCTGGATGGACCAGAAACCATTTCTGGAAAAGAAGGGTGGAGAACGTCACTCTTTATTCACCTCCTCTCATCGCAACTGAGATCTCTGGATACATTTTTCTCCTGTGTTTTTATGTAATCTTTCCTTTTTGATTGATGTGCTCCAGCCTAGTCACACAGTTGTGGCTACTTCACAAAAGAAAGAATACTCCCTCAACCATGTCAGTGGTTACCCTGGAGAAGAAGCAATGGATAGAAACTAATCAAGTAAAGAAGCAACCTAGAACTAAGGAGAAATTTCCTGACAGCTAAAACAATTAATCAGTGGAACAAATTGCCTCCAGATGTTGTGAATGTTTCAACACTGGAACTTTTAAAGAACAGATTGGACAACCACTTGTCTGAAATGATATAGGGTTTCCTGCCTGGACAGGGGGTTGGACTAGAAGACCTCCAAGGTCCCTTCCAACTCTGTTATTGTGTTATTTTACTAGCAATGCTACAATAGCATGATGGTTATAACATTTGCTTTGTAAATATGTAGAAGGTTGCTGGTTTGAAGCTTAGGAGAAACTTAAAAAAAAAGATTTTCCCCGTTCTATATACTTTTCTGTGGGCTTTAAGGACATTCTTTTAAGGCTATTCTGAACACAGACAAATAAAAAATGGAGAACCATGTAGCATCTACAGCATTTTTGGGAAATAAAATGATGACTGCCTGAAGATGGCTGTAAAAATCAATTCCAATTCTTGACCTTTCATACACATTGAAAAAAAATACAAAAGCAACTTGTGAACGAATGGGCAGCCCTAGAGAAGAAATGAACAAACAAGTAAGCAAATGAAGAAAGAAATATATATCTAATGTGAATCATGTAAATACATAGATATTAATACTGGAAGGTATTAGGATTTGAATAATGAAAGCAAATTGAATAATGAAATGAACAGATGTTTCTTGTGCCTTTCTTTCCTATTTGTTAGTCCACCCTTTCCCAATTTCTGGAGCTCTCCAGAAATATTGACAATACAGTTCCAAGAAATTTATATCAGCATGGTTACATTGGTGGAGAATAATAGGGGCCATTATCCTAACACATTGTACAGGCATCAGGCTATGGAAGGCTAATGTAGTCTAAGGCCAAACTTCACATTTGCCTCTTGTATGCCTGGAAAGACTTTGGAAAGAGTGCAGAGAAGAGCAACAAAACTGATTAGGGGACTGGAGGGTAAAACATACAAAGAATGATTGCAGGAATTGGGTATGTCTAGTCTAATGAAAAGAAGGATTAGGGGGTGACATGATAGCATTATTCCAATATTTGAGGGGCTCCTACAAAGACGAGGGGATCAAACTATTTTCCAGAGCACCAGAAGGCAAGACAAGAAACAATGGTTGGAAACCAAACAAGGAGAGAAGCAACCTAGAACTAAGGAGAAATTTCCTATGGTGAGAGCAATCAAGCAATGGAATAGTTTGCCTTCAGAAGTTATGGGTGGTCCATTACTGGAGGCTTTCAAAAAGAGAGTGGACAACCATTTGTCTGAACAATCTCCTGCTTGAGCAGGGGGTTGGACTAGAAGACCTCCAAGCTCATTATTCTACAGTATGTTTTATGTTCTATGTTTTTAGATCTGAGATCTATTAGAAGAAACACGAAGAATTTACCTTTGCATGTATGATCTCAGCAGCGTGATGCCCAGGAGGAAGTACATCATAATGGAGCACACCATCATGGCCAGTCCCAGGAATATGGCCCGGTCCTCTCCTGCTTTGAGAGCGGTGACTGTTTTCCTTTTGTCCAGTAGTTCATGATCCCTGATTTTTTGGTAAATATTTCTGAGGTTGAAAACAATACATTCTTATGTGGAGTTCACACTTTAATCAATAAACCCTCTAAAAGGAATGTTTGCTCCGTTTCCAGGGCCTGCCTCAGGGGACATCACAGCTTTATGATTACCGCATTCGATGTTTTCTAAAGATTTTCACTAGGACCTGGTAGGGGGAAAAAAAAATCATCCAAAACACACAAAAGGCTTTCATTGGTGGAATGATTTCAAAGTTCCTCTTTCTCTTTCTTGTCTCTGTTTTTCAAGTTCCAGGAAGGAGCTTTTTGCAACAGATGAAATGAATCTTGGACAACGAATCTTAAATCATTCATACCAGAGGAATTTTTTGGAATCCCCAGAAAAATGTGTGATGTGACTGAAGAAAGAATAGTCAAAGATGTGTTATTCTCTGCTTTACTTCCTGGTGGCATTTCAACAATTTAGAGTTCTTAGGGCTTGCCCTTCAAGATACTCTGGACCAGGACTTTTTTTTTTTTTGGGTCACAGAACATCCAGAATGGAGTTCCAGCACCTTTTTTGGATGGAAACTTGAAGGGTAGGCAAGGTGGGTTGTATGATGTGTGTGAGTTCTGGCACCTTTTTTTTTTTTTTTTTAGAAAAAAAGCACTGCTCTGGACACTTAATTGAGGAGGACAATAGGCTGATTTAGGCATAGAGGTTAATCTTTCCTGTGAAAAATATGATCTGTTATCATGCTACCAATTTCTAAAATTCTACATTTGAGTTCTAAAATGATTACTGTTTTACAGGTAGTCCTTGACTTATGACCCGCTGAGATGCTTGGTGGGGGATGAGGAGGAGGGTGTGGGGACCTAAGGGGTAGGAAGCAGGCCCAAGGGCTTGTGGGACCCTGAGGCATGGGAAGTGGACCATGGGGTAGGGAAGACCTTGGGAGGCTCGAGGCAGACAGATAGGCATCCCCCAACCCTGAGGTACCCCATCCTCTGCTTAATGTGATTTTTAACAACTGCATCAGAGACAATAGGGTGGAGGTCGTTAAGCGAGGTAATCATATGGTCTCCTCGCTTAATGACTGTCATGATTTGCGACTGAAATGGGCAGACTCCATTACAACCATGTATCAAGGGCAAGCTGAATAGACTTTATATTTTACAGTATTATGGCATTTATTATGGTATTTTTAACAGTATATAGTATTTTGTAGTCTTTCCATCTGCATTAAGATCTTTAATTTAGTACAAACATTTTTTTTTTGTTCTCCTTTTCAGAGATATTTCCTCAAGTTGGTGGCCATCCATAATATGATCACTTGATCAATATCTTATTTTTAGCTTATTTCATGGCGTTCTGGGTTTGTGTTAACCTAAAAATAATGATCTATCTATCTATCTATCTATCTATCTATCTATCTATCTATCTATCTATCTATCTATCTATCTATCTATCTATCTACCTACCTACCTACCTACCTACCTACCTACCTACCTACCTACCTACCTACCTATCTATGGAGTTCTTGGTGCTTTCTGATCTTGGTTGCTTACTTGCAGACATTTCATTACCCAACTAGGTAATATCATCAGTGCAGGTGAGTATGGGGTTTGCTGCCTGTTTATATATAGTAGCTGTTCTGCCAGTTTCAGTTAGGGAGTGGTTTTTTTCCCCCTTGTTAATATCTTGATTACAGTGTTCTAATGTGTTTAGATAAATCAGTCATCAATAGACACATTTACACACCTTTCAAAAGAGACATATAAATATAAAACTAGGAAGGAAACAAAAAACTAGAAGACATCTTCCCCAACAGCAGCCAACATTCAGATAAATAAAGATCACATTAGACAATGAGGCACAAAAACAACACGTTACCCAAGGAACTTCCAAGGACAAAAACCACAACTTCCCCAAAACTGGCAAGGCAAGCTACTATATATAAATAGGAAGCAAACTCACACTCATTTGTATGCACAATGGTATCTAATTGGATAATAAAACATCTGTAAGCAAACAACCAGGCTCAGAGAGCACCAAGGACCCCACAATTCAACCCTCAGCTATAGATATTCTCTTCTATTAGTGTCTATCATCTCTCTCTCTCTCTCAAATGAGTTACAGTATGAGTTACACTATGTCTGAGAAATCCCACGTTCAAATCCAATATTTTTACGGTATTTAAGGGTAGGACACGAGCAGAATCATATTTTCTGCTCCATATACTCTAGTGAGTTTTATATTTTCCCATCAGCACATATTGCAGAGATTAGCAATTTTGGAGGAGTTAAGGACACATTTGGAATTTTGATAAGCTGGGACTGTTGTTTATTTATAAAATGGTTCCCAGGATTGATGTTCCCAGGGAACATCAACGTGCCAGAAGGGGAAAATGGCTGTTCCAAGGATGTGCTGCAAATAACAAGAATGCCAAGTGATTGTGCTTTGCTTTGTGGCAGGACAGCTTCCTAGTTTTCTTTTTTAAATCATATGTTTGCATATATAGAAAAGGAACAAGGTGGGAGGGATGTTAAGGCACGACACTGCCTAGACCAGTGGTTCTCAACCTGTGGGTCGGGACTCCATTTGGGGTCGAACGACCATTTCACGGGGGTCGCCAAACAACGCAGTCTACCATTTTTCCCCCCTTTTCCTTAGCTGTGCTACTCCCTTTTATTCTATTGGCTTTTGAAAGCCAATAGAATAGACTCTCTTGAACAGAGTCTAATTCTATTGGCTTTCAAAAGCCAATAGGAATTGTCCAGGCTGTCTCTGCCCTGCTGAGACCACCAAAAGTCCCATTCTGCAAATGGTGCTGCACCAGTTGAGTAGTCCTCGACTTACGACCGGTTGAGTAGTCCTCGACTTATGACCGGTTGGGGGTCGCGGCATTAAAAAGGTTGAGAACCACTGGCCTAGACAGTTGGATTGTTTATTAAGCTGAAGTGTTAGGTTGAATCTGAGTTCCACCACTCCATTCTGGTTTTGTGCTAAGACACAAGTTAAGAATTAAGTGGAACAAATAATGGGTTTGTAATGTATGTCCATGGAGATTCTCAGTCCTCCAGGTCATGGCTGTCCCAAAGGTGCTTTTTCAGGAGGCAACTGGACTTCTTTGTTTTTTCTTTTAAGACGTTTTGCTTCTCATCCAAGAAGCTTCTTCAGCTCTGCCTGGATGGTGGGGAGTGGAAGGATTTATGCTCCTTGCAAACAGCTGGTCATTTGCATTCTTTTAGCCTCAACGACTCTCCAAAAGAATGCAAATGACCAGCTGTCTGTAAGGAGTATAAATCCTTCCGTTCCCTACTATCCAGTCAGAGCTGAAGAAGCTTCTTGGATGAGAAGCAAAACATTTTCAAAGAAAAAACAAAGAAGTCCAGTTGCCTCCTGAAAAAGCATCCTTGGGTTTATTATGTATGTGGCCATGACCTTGAGAGGCAGGAGGGAGAGCCACAGGCTGGACATCTGCAAGTAAAAGATGTCTTGGCCCACTGAAGGAAAGGAGGGCATGGGAAACAGTTCAAAAGAGACCTTCCTTTTAACTCTCTGAAAAAATACTTTCAGTCTTGCAAGATTCTGTTACTACAGGTAGTCCTCGACTTACCACAGATTGTTTAGTGACCGTCCAAAGTTGCAACATCACTGAAAAAAAGGACCATTCTTCACATTTGCAACCTTTACAGCACCCCCAGGGTCATGTGATCAAAATTGAGACGCTTGGAAACCGACTCACCTTTTCCAACCTTCTAACAAGCCAAGTTCACTGACAAGCCAGGTTCACTTAACAGCCATGTTGCTAATTTAACAAGTGCACTGATTCACTTAGCAACGGTGGCAGGAAAGGTTGTAAAACGGGACAAAACTCCCTTAACAAATGTCTCACTTCGCAACATAAATTTTGGGCTCAGTTGTGGTCGTAAGTCGAGGACTACCTGTATAACCACACAATAAAGATAGAGCTAGTATTCCTGGCTATGCTTCTTTTCTGGAGATCCTTGCGGCGCTGGCTGAGTTGAGGACAACTTCATCTCTGCTTCTCTTTTCTTCTTCTCCATAATTTGGAACTCAGTGGGTGTGTGGAATGAGCTCTGATTTCTTTTCCCCTCACTAATGGTAGCCAACAACATGCAGTGGAGTAGATAATAGGAGGAAGGGGTAAATGCATGATATTATGAATAGACATGATGTGCTGACTAATATATCAGGGAGAGAAAGGGAGGATGATACACAGATGGAGTTTTGGACAGGATCTCCATGTTATTGTGAAGGCGTAACTCTGTCATAATGCAAAGATGCTTCTTCTGAAGAACTGTTTCATGCTCAAAATACTCTGGCCATATTTCAAAGCAATCTCTACACCGGTGTTTCTTAACCTTAGCACTTTGAAGATGTGTAGACTTCAACTCCCAGAATTTCTGGGATTTGAAGTCTATACACCTTCAACTTGCCAGAGTTGAGAAACGGTGCACTATGTGTACACTTCCCATGTGTACCTGTGTGTGTTGTTTGAAAACAGGAAAGCAAATGTTTTCCTCCTGTCTCTGTGTGGCTATAAAGCCTGATCCAACGTATTCAGAAAAACAAGCCTGCATATATTTAGACACGCATCGGACTGCTGTCGTACCAGCCTCCAGTTTGAACATCATCACTTGAAAATAAATAGATTGGCTTAATTCATTTTCAAGTAAGTACTGTTAGCTTTTATCTAGCTTGATGTGTATTATTGTTATTTTATTCCTGTGTTCATAATTTTTCACTACACTGCTTCTTCCATTATTTGCAGAAAATCCACATGCATTATTCCAGTTCACTGCTAAGGATTTACTGGAATGCAGGCAATAAATGAACCGACTCTTGAAAAACTCGCTAACTTTTCCCCATCTTGAAATGAAATTTGTAATCAATCTATCTCATCCCTTTATTTCCCTCTCCCCAAATATAGGACAACAACAACATAACCTCCCCCCCCCCAGTTTATAGGAGTATCTATGACACCATCTTCATTCCCTTAGGAGAAGAAATGTGAACAAAATAAAT